GCCATTCCAATTTATCAAAGGCCTTCTCCGCATCAAGAAAGATAAAAGCCGATGGTATTTGATTATTCTTATCCAAATATTCCAATAAATTTACGATTTGTCTAATATTGTTCTTCATGTACCTACCAGATATAAAACCAGTTTGATCATCATGTATATAATGTTGCAATATCTGCATCATTCTATTAGCCAAAATTTTTGCAAAAATTTTATAATCCACATTCAGCAAAGAGATAGGTCTGTAATCTTTAAGTTCCAGGATTTCTTTATCATCCTTCGGTATTAGAGATATAAAAGCTCTTGTCCAAGACTGTGGTATTTGTTCTCCCAACATAATTTTGTTGAATAAAGTTTTTAAAGGTTGTAGCATTACAGCTGACAATGACTTATAATAAATTGCTGTCAAGCCATCTGTGCCAGGAGCCTTACCAGCTTTCAATTGTTTAATTGCATTTAAGATTTCATCTGTGGTAATCTCTTCATTCATAAATTTATGTTGATCCGATGTAAGTTTATATATAGATGAGGATTGTAAGTATTTATCAATGTCTTCACTCTTTATAGTCTCTGAAGAGTATAAATGCGAATAAAATTCAGTAAATGCTTTTTTAATCATTTCTTGTTGGTGAATCTCACGATCCTTGACCAAAATTTTAGATATAAGTCTAGCTTTTTGTCTCTTACGTATTTGGTAGGCCAATCATCTCCCCGGTTTATTTGCATTGGCAAATGTATTATGTTTAATATACTTCAAGTTGGTGGCCACCTGGTCCGCAATTAACAAGTTAAATTGATCTTTAAGCATTTTAATAGAGGTTTTTAAATTGGTATCTGTTGGATGTTGCACTAGTAATTTTTCTTTGATCCCAATTTCTTTTTCCAAGTTTAGTTTAGTCTGTATTTGTTTACGTTTGTGTGTGTTATTCATAGCAATTAATATTCCCCTTAAATAAGCTTTACCAGCATCCCAAACAATATTTATAGGGGTTTCATTATTCAAATTGAGTTGAAAAAACTCTTCCATACATTCCTTCAAAGCTTTAACTTTATCTTCATAATTAAACAAGTTTTCATTTATTCTCCATGATTTCCTTTTTCTTTGTTGACCAATCTCTATCCACACCATACTATGATCAGTCAAAGTTCTGGGGAAAATTTTAGTTTTATTACAGTCAGTAAGCAGGTCAGTTGATGTCAAAACAAAATCAATCCTTGAAAACGATTCATGTCTGTGAGAAAAAAAGGTGAAATCACGTTCATTCATATGTTGTGATCTCCAAACATCCACCAATTCTAAGTCCTCCACCATTGCAAAAAAAGACTTAGGTAGCCTGGAAAGAGATACATCCTTAGAAGTTGTTTTTTTATCTTTAAATATATCCAGAACTCCATTCCAGTCTCCCATAACAATCAAAGAATTATAATCCATAGCCACAATTTTATGATGTAATTGTCTATAAAATTGTTTTTGGGCTGAAAGTTGGTTAGGGGCATAAACCCCTATTATTAAACATTTTCTTCCATTTAGATTTATTTCCACAAATAAAAATCTTCCTTCTTTGTCAACTTCTTTTAAAATAGGTGAAAGGTGTCTTTTAATATATATTGCAACCCCAGCTCTCTTTTTTAAGGCAGATGCAACAAACAACTCTCCAAGCTTAGAGTTCAATAATAATTTTTGATCTTTAGCCACAATATGAGTCTCTTGTAAACATGTAATGTCATTATTAAAATGTCTTAGATAATGAAAAACCTTACATCTTTTATGAGGAACATTAAGTCCCCCCACATTCCAGGATATAAGCTTACACATTGGCAGGTTTCAATCCACTGGCAATACTTGATGCATAGGACTTGACAAAAACCTTAGGTCGAGCGCCACCTACTGGCTCAGAAATAGCAGGTAACTGACAGTCAGCTGTAGGGCTATCAGCTGTAGGGCGGGCTGTCATCTGTCTTTCCTTCTCTTTACGTCTATGGGCTGCGCGAGTCATTCTTTGTTCCTTCCCATCATCTTTTAAACTCCCTTCTAGATCCTGAACGGAAGCAGAAGGGAGGTCCACAATCAATTGCTCAGCTGCGTCGCTCCTTTGAGATGTGGGCGGGCATTCTGCTTGCAAAACGGACGCCATAAAATCCTTAGCTTTCTTAATCGAGTTAAGTCTGTATCGCCTACCAGCCAATGTTACAACTATGCCCACAGGTATATCCCATCTGAAAATTATTTGTCTATTCTTAAGCTCCTGTGTCAGAAAGACATAGTCTCGGCGCGCTCTGAGTATTTTCGCTGGGATTTCTTTTAAAAGAATAATGTCTTGGTTTAAAATCTTAAATCTTTGTTGATAAAAGAGCTGCATTATTTCATTTCGTCTCGATTTTCTTGTAAAGTAGACCACTATGTCCCTTGGCAAATTTTTTTGGCGAGCAATCCAAGAGTTCACCCTAAAAACACGTTCTAATTCCAAATAAATTTCCCGGCCACAAGACAAAGCATCCATAAGTGCGTCTGAAATTACTTGTCTCAAATTCTCCTTTGGATCCTCAGCCAACCCACGGATCCGAATTGCAAACTCCATGTCACGAAATTGGGCAATTAGCACATCAGCCTTAACATTTTCCAGACTCTCCTCTACAAGTTCAAGTCTGTGATCACTTGCTTCTGCTTTTTGTTCATTCTCTTCCACCCTTTCTGCCACCGCGTCTACATATTTAGCCAAATCTTGAAAGGCAGTTGCCACGTTCAAACAAAAATCCTCATGTTTCTGTGATAAGTCTTGTTGTTGTTGTGATAAATCCTGTTGTTGTTGTAATACTTGGTCAAATCTGTTTTGCATTTTAGCATCCATCGCTTGAAACATCTCAGTCATTTGTTTAATAGTTACGGACATCAAGTCCTGCAATTCTCTACCAGAAGGCGGTGGGGGTGAAGAAGATGGCGGGGGTGGCGGGTGGGAAATTTTAGAAGTTTGTTGAGGTGTCTGGGACATCGGAGATGTAGTCGGTTTTAAAGTTGAAGGCGCAGTTTTTCTCAAAGCCATGTTAGCAGTAAATTTCCAATTATAATAAAGTCTTATAAGCAGTTCAACAAAACAAGTAATACACCGGTTAAAAATAGCAAAAGTTCCAAACCGGAAATCACTTTCACTTCTTGCTGAAAAGTATCAATCCATCGCCATTTTAAGTTCACTTTCCCTCAATCCACCTCAAGTATAGGGAAGATCTTAATATCCAAGTTAGAGTAAAGTCCAAAATAGAAAGCAAACTTCCAGGGTCGGTTCGTCTGCTTACAAAAAAAACTCACAGTTCACTTTAAGTTGCAGCAGTGGCGGCGGCTTCTAGTTTCGCCGAAGCGAAGGCGTCCTGGATCGCGGAGAAACCACGGGGCTCCAGAGGAGTTCTCACCTACATCGTCCACATGGGACGACTCGGGAACTCAACTCCTACCCCGGGCAGCTCACCTATCCCCCTATGCCCAGGGGAAGGGTATCAAGCCGTTTGACAGCTGATGCTAGCTGTCAAAACGGCTTTTACGCTGAAACAGGCGGGAGGCAGCAACAGCTGCGTCCGACGAGGTCGCCTGCCACCGGAAGTCCCCCCCAGCAGCCTTTCCTTATTTGTTTTAGCCTCCAGTCCCCTAATCATCTTTGTTGCTCTTCTCTGTACTCTTTCTAGAGTCTCAGCATCTTTTTTACATCATGGTGACCAAACCTGGATGCAGTATTCCAAGTGTGGCCTTACCAGGCATTGTAAAGTGGTATTAATACTTCATGTAATCTTGATTCTATCCCTCTGTTAATGCAGCCCAGCTCTGAGTTGGCTTTTTTGGCAACTGCAGCACATGGCTGGCTCATATTTAAGTGATTGTCCACTAGGACTCTGAGATCCCTCTCACAGTTACTACTATTGAGCAAAGCACCACCTATACTATACCTGTACATTTGGTTCCCCTTGCCCAAATGCAGAACCTTACTTTCTTCACCATTGAATTTCCTTTTGTTAGATAGCGCCCAGTGTTCAAGTCTGTCCAGATCCTCCTGTATCCTAAGCTTGTCTTCTGGAGTGTTGGCTATTCCTGCCAGCTTGGTGTCATTTGCAAATTTGATGATTTCCCCATCTATCCCCTCGTCCAAATTGTTGATGAAGATGTTGAAGAACACTGGGTCCAGAACAGAGCCCTGGGGCACCCCACTACACACTTCCCTCCGTGTAGATGCAGTTTCATTGAGGACCACACCTTGAGTGCGGCCGGTCAGCTACCTATGAATCCATCTGGTGGTGATGCTGTCTAACCCACATTTTTCTAACTTATTGAGTTGTAGTTGTGATCTACTTTATCAAATGCCTTACTAATGCCTTAATAATAATTGAATGTAAATTTCAACTGATTTGCCTGGAAATTGTTGAAGGATTGGAGCTTTATGTTACTTTTGAAGATTTCTATAATAATTACAGTAAATAAAGACATATTTGACTCTTTCTGTTCCTCCAGAATCTTGTGGATAGTCTTTCATGCATTCTCTACCTGTGGCACAGAAGGGCAGAAGGTAATGCAATAAAAACCTTTTTCCTAAGCTAGGAAGAGTTTACATGCTCAGATAGTAAGCAGGTTCCAAGCTGTTCATAGACATGAACTATCTGGAAGTCTATAGTAGCAAACTAAATTTAGCTTGTAGTCCAGTTANAGTTATATTCATTCAGTGAGAAAATATTTCATCTTGGAGGTTTTATTGCTGTAATATTCATCAAAACCATAATGTACCTAGAGTTTGAGAACTTTTCAATTGTTTAATTTCCATTCAGGAGTCATTTTTCCATCTTTTTCCACTGGTTATCATAAATAATAATTTTCCTTTCCTTTCCTTTCCTTTCCTTTCCTTTCCTCTTTCTGTCTTCCTTCCTTCCTTCCTTCCTTCCTTCTTTCCTACCTACCTACCTACCTACCTACCTACCTACCTTCTTTCATTCTTTTCCTGTAGTTGACCTATGGCTCTTTTGCCCAGGAAGAATTTCAGAGTAACAAATTATCTTCACTTTATTGCATGGTGCCAGAAGAGGACTATCAGTACATGGGAGTTATACAACTTTTCCTCCATTTTGGATGGAGGTGGATTGGAGTCTTTACTTTTGAAACTAACGGAGAACGTTTTTTGCAGAAACTGCAGCCATTGATTTCACAGAATGGGATCTGTTTAGCTTTCACTCAAAAAATTCCACAACATATCCAGTTAGAAGATTTTTCAGAATTGTTAGATTCAGTCTCAAATATTTCTAATAAATTGATGGATCAGAAAACAAATGTTTTTCTTGTCTATGGAGAATCATTCACAATAGTGTGGCTCAGAAATGTCATGTTTCTACGTGATCCTGAAAATAAAGACAGATCATTATTCAGAAAGGTTTGGGTCCTAATGAACCCAATTGATTTCATACTGACTGGAGCTCAAAGGAGTTTGGATCTCCAGATGTACCATGGGGCTCTTTCCTTTACAGTTCATTCAAGAGACATTCAAGGCTTCAAACAATTTCTTCAAGTCATCAAACCTTCCACCCACAAAGATGGATTTCTTCAAGAGGTTTGGCAACAATTGTTTGACTGTATATTTTCAAAGGCAAATTTACCTTCATTGATCAGTGAAACGTGTAGTGGGGAAGAGAATCTGGAGACTCTGCCTGCACCTCTGTTTGAGTTGCAGATGATTAGCCAAAGCTACAGTATCTACAATGCTGTTTATGCAGTGGCACATTCTTTGCATGAGGCAAGGACATCAAGTCCCAAATGGTCAAAAATTCAAAGGTTTGAATTTCCAAATCTGCAGCCTTGGCAGGTAATCTCCCCATACCATTCCTATCTTTTGTTTTTAGCAAATAGTAATTCTCAATTTGATATGACTAGTTTGTCCTGGCCTATGGCCACATATCATTAGAGATCCTAAAGCAACTAGAGTTTTATTGTAAGAGATTGTTCTTTGTTACGGAATAAAAGAGATTTAAAAGTCATACTGCCTTTGCAAATTTTGGTCTAGTCAAAATGATGAATGTACCTATCATCATTCCATTAATCACCCTTTCTTCTTTCCTGACTTATAAATTCATCAGTCCTGGTTCCAGAATACAATGGAGAGGCATCTGAAGGCAGTCTTTGTTTTTTGCCCAACAAAGCTTTCTGAAATGGGAACATTTCATTTTTTATTAGTTTTTTGAAATTTAATCAAGATAGGTTTGTTATCCTGGGAACATAAAGCTTATGACAGTTGTTCTATTGTAGCATAGGTGTGTTATTTCCATGAAATGATGTTGGTTTTTAGATTTATGGTAAATTACCAGAAGAATGGCTGAGTTTGCTGTCTTTAAAGTACTCATGACGATTAATTAATAAAGTAAGTTCCATATTTCAGTTATTGATTGTTCTTGGTGTGTTGACATTTTCTTCTTCTGTATTTGAAGACAGGGAATGTTGTTTGGTTTCCTTGGAAGGAAGAGTAAAAGAAAGAGAAATTCCTGATGCATTGTTTCCTTTTTAACTCACTTTCTTCTTTTCCTTCAAGTAGCTCCACCAGTTTCTTCAACAGATTTCTTTTAACAACTCAGCTGGAGAAAGAGTCTTCTTTAAAAACAGAAGAGAAGGTCCAGGTGGCTTTGACATTATCAACACGATCACTTTCCCAAACAGATCCTTTCAGAGAGTTAAAGCTGGAAAGTTACACCCTAATGCTCCAAAAGGAAAAGAAGTTATCATTGAGAACACAATCCTTTGGCATCCTGGTTTTAACCAGGTATGAATAGCAATTGGGCTGTTGATTTATTATATTATTGAAAAGTAATAGCGATAGTGCTTAGACGTACAGTAATACCGCTTCATAGTGCTTTACAGCCCTCTCTAAACAGTTTACAGAGTCAGCATATTGTCCCCAACAATCTGGGCCCTCATTTTACTGACCTCAGAAGGATGGAAGGCTGAGTCAACTTTGAGCCAGTGAGGACTGAACTCCTGGCAATGACCAGAATTAGCATGCAATATTGCATTCTAACCATTGTGCCACTATGGCTCAATCATGTTCAGATACAAAGGAATATATAACCCTAACCCTAAACCTCTGTAAAATGTTAACAATGTTAAGGGTCATTTATGTAAGCCAATGTAAATCATTTCCATTGTTTAATCGGGATTCTTTCATACCAATGGCTATGTTTATGTCTGTAGGTTCTTCCTGTTTCTTTGTGTAATGACCACTGTTCCCCTGGATCCTGGAAGAGAAGGGCTGAAGGCAGTCAGTTCTGTTGCTATGACTGTGTTCCATGCCTAGAAGGAAAGATTTCTAATGGAACTGGTAGGTTATCAATTTCACGCGGAGATTAACTCTAATTCTGCCGAAAAGGCAGTTTTGCTTCTGACCCCCACCCAGGCCAGAAACTGCACGCCACCATCGTTCACCTGCTCTGTCCCCCCGACAGCCCCTGCGATCTCCTATCACATGCTGGCAGGCAGAAATCCCATGGCCTAAAAGTCCCATTCTGTCTCCTCCATGCTCGGGGAGGGGGAGATATTAACAGTGTCGCTGGTGGCCATGCTGCCACAGGCCATGGCTTTCCTACTAGGGAGGGGCAGGATAATCCCAGTGAAAGGGAAGCCTTGCAGGCTGTGAGATCAGGCCGGTGAGTGGGGCATGGAGGCACTAGTGCCTAGGAAGGTGAGCAGCAGCCCCAGTGGCAAGAAGGGCCTCCGAAAAGAGTGGAGTCTGTGTGTGCCTGCTACAAACTCACCCATCAGCTATGCTCTCTATGCCTCTGATTAGCTGTAGCATGCTGTGGAGAGCAAGGCTGATGTGGGCAAGGCAGGCGCACATACAGACTCCGCTGTTTTCAGCGGCGCTTTGGTTCCTGGCCAAGCAAAGTGGAGCTGGGTGAGGTAAGGCGAGGCCCAGCACAGAAGAGCTAGATGAGGAGAGGGCCATCAAAGCCGGTCATGGCCAGGTGTGACGGGCAATGTGGGGAGAGGTGGGGAGAGTCTGGGAGGGGCAGAGCAGGATGAGGCAAATGAGCTGCAGCTATTCCTGTGCACCAGCAACCTCCAAGCACTCACCATTTCCTGTGTTTGCACTGGGAGGGTGCCCAGCCAGGTTGGGATGGACCAGGGCTGGCTCAACAGAGGCTGGGGCAGCGGGGGCTGATCCCTTGCCATTTCTGGAAAAGCTCCAGGGGCCAAATTTGGGCCCTTGGCAGGCCGGCCCCGACCTGGAGGCCTTGTTTTTCATATATCTGCTTTATAAGAACTTCAGGTGTGGGTGTGTCAAATGAGGTGTCAGCTGTGAGTCATCAGAGATGGGCTCATGATGGGGAGGTTACTTCAGGTCAGGGCCATTGGAAGATGTGAATTATTAGGGGGTCAAGATCCATCACCAGCCTCTCATTGATGACTCATACCAGAGCCACTGATGATTCACACTCTACAATGATCATGACTTGAAGTATCTTCCCCATCATAAGGCCCATCACAAGCCCCTCTCTGATGACTCATACCTGACCCATCATAAAACTCTCACTTGACACATCCCCACCCAAAGCACTTATAAATAGTAAAGCACTGAATTAGAAATCTCCTAAATGCCACTGAAAATGTTACCTAGCCTGGTAAAAATAAGTTGAGAGAATGAACCTTCACCCTCAATATTCTGAGTGCTATAAACTGATTGAGGTCAGTTTAGCAGCAATGAATGCAACATTTCTTTTCCACAAGATCTGCTATTTTCCAAGTTTTAACTTCCATAAAACCCGGAAAATACGTAGAAGCAAAGGGAATTTAACTAGGTCACAGATGTCTTATGAACGGATCAGTTATTTTATCATCCAAGGCACACAGGATGGATATTTGTAGAACCAACGATTGTTCTCCACGTAGAAAACAAAAGCATCTTAAAGTCTAGATAAAATACAGGGATGGATGTGTCCCCTGAGAGCTGTATGCAATGAAATTCCATTTTAATGTATGCCAATTAATGTACAATAAAGTTTCTATTCTATTCTGTTCTGTTCTTTTCTTTTCTATTCTACTCTAAATATCATTTTATCAGAAAGGTACATTATAGAAAAGAATAAGAACTGGCATCCACACAGGCTATAATTTTCAAAAACACAAAATGGATAGATGACAAATTCATTGGCTTTTCTTTCCAGATATGGATGACTGTTTTGAATGTTCAGAAGATCATTACCCAAATAAAGAAAAGAAAGGCTNAGAAAGGCTGTATCCTGAAACTGCTGGTCTTTCTAACTTTTGAAGAAACTTTAGGAATCGGTTTAGCCTCAGTCACTCTTGGTTTCTTCTTCTTGACATCTTGGGTACTTGGAACTTTTATTAAACACAGGGATACTCCCATTGTCAGAGCCAACAACAGATCCCTCACCTATACCCTTCTTGTCTCTCTTTTGTTCTGCTTTCTCTCCTCTTTTTTATTTCTCAGCCAACCTTGCAAAGTGACCTGCCTTCTCAGACAATCAACTTTTGGAATTACCTTCTCAGTGGCCATTTCTAGTGTACTGGCCAAAACCATCACGGTGGTTGTGGCTTTCATGGCCACTAAACCTGGATCTCAAATGAGGAAGTGGGTGGGGAAAAGATTGGCCTTTTCTACTGTATTTTCCTGTTCTCTCTTCCAAGTATGTATTTGTATCCTTTGGTTGTCAACATCTCCCCCATTCCCTGAATTGGACATGCATTCAGAGCTCCAAGAAATGATTTTACAGTGCAATGAGGGGGCAGCTTTCTTTTTCTACTGTGTCTTGGGCTACATGGGTTTCTTGGCCATTGCCAGCTTCATTGTGGCTTTCCTTGCCCGTAAATTACCTGACAGCTTCAATGAAGCCAAGTTCATCACCTTCAGCATGTTGGCCTTTTGCAGTGTGTGGGTCTCCTTCTTTCCAGCCTATCTGAGCACAAAAGGCAAAGCCATGGTAGCTGTGGAGGTCTTCTCCATCTTGTCTTCCAGCGCTGCATTACTGGGATGCATATTCTTGCCAAAGTGCTACCTCATTGTTTTGCGGCCTGAGCTAAACCACAGGGAACAACTAATAAAGAGAATGTAGTACATCAGATTGTTTAACCTAACCTTTTTTTCCTTTGAATATATCAAGCTAACAAGATTTTGACAATCTATCTGTTTATATATTGACTTTAAGGATAAAAGGCAGCTTGCAGTTCATGGTTTTTATAGCTTCACTTCATAAACCAGTGTATAAATATGGGAAAAAGCTAGCGGATATTTTATAGACATTTATTTATCTCAGTATCATAGGGGATCTGTTTTGGATTGATTGAAAGGTAAAAGTTAAAATGTTTTTGAACATTTAATATACATTTAACTATGTTTTTTTAAAAAAAATCATGAACAGTCTAGCCATTCACTCTCCATCCACCAAGGTATTTTTATTATATGAAATTTAAGTTTCCTACTGCCTCATCCCTTACTAGAAGTGTATGCTGGGTGATGTCTATATAAAGTTTGATTTAATTTGGTTTGATTTAGGTATGTCCTTTGGAGTAATATATGTAATATATGTATGTAATATATGTGCTACATCAATGTTTTGTGGCCTGAGCTAAACCACAGGGAACAATTAATAAAGAGAATGTAGTGCATCGTGTGTTCTTTCTGGCTATGGAAAATGATTAATAATATATTTTTATTGTACCCTATTATCCATTTTTAATAATGTTGCAATTTAAAGACATATGAAATGTAATCTTCCTTCTGCCTCATCCCTTATTAGAAGTATATGCTGGCGGATGTCGGTAATAAATTTTGATTTGATTTGGTTTGATTTAGGTATGTTTTCCACTAGTCCTTTGGTGGAGACCCCTTCCATCATATAATATATGTCTAATAAAATACCACACCAGGCTAAAAAGCAGAAGACCATGAGTTCTACTTTAACCATGAAAGCCACCTGGGTGACTTTAGAACAGTCCCTCTCTCTCAGTCCAATTCACTTCAGAGGGTCATAGTTGTTTGCGGGAAAATAGGAAGAGGAAAGTGGGTTGGATATGTTTGATGCTTTGAGTTATTTGTCAAAATAATAAAAAAAATTAATTAATTAAATAAATTTGCTTTGGGTCCTGTATTTTAATTTCGTGATATCAATATTGGTGTTGATTCACATTAGCATTCTCTGCCTGGAAATATGAGTGAACTGATCCAAAAGGCTATCTTGTTTAATTGGCATTTCTTAATAGGTAAAAAAGTTTCCTCTACTCTCTTCAACTACTCAATTCAGTTTACATGGAAAATGGGAGTCCTGCTCCATTGTAAGAAATGAACATGAATTTGAACAATTGGGCCTATTTTTATTGTCATTGTCCCTTACTATATATTATTTTAATTGGCATTTTCTCATTATTAAACCATCAGACACTTATTATCTCACCAATAGCAAAATAATTATTTCTTACAGGATTCATGGTATTATCTTAGTTAGGCCCAAACATGCTGAGCAAAAGCACTTTAAAATTTTAAATTCCCGCTTCTAATGAGGATATGATTAAATATAGGTTTTTTTTTTTTTTTTTTTTTTAAAAAACAGATTAATATGCAGCAACCAGAATTGACAAACAAGATCGTGAAATTTAAATTTTGTTTCTTAGGATTAACAACCAACAATAAAGGAAGCAGCATCCACAAAATATGCAGCAAAAATATGGTTAGGTAGCCATGACAGTGTCAAGCCCCACGGGGCTTGCCATTCACCAGTGAGGGGGGTGACTTGGGGTATGGCTTGCAGCTGCCGGATGCCGCCCTGCTGCCGGACGCCGCCTTGACTCCAGCCGGTCGTCGGCACCAACCCAGCCGCCGGGATGGGCCCGCAGGACATCAGGTACGGCCCTCCCCTCCATTCCCGCTTCAGCCGCCTACCGTTCCTGGACCGGAGGGACCTTGCTGGTGGGTGGGGGGGCCACAGCCTGCCGCCTACCAGCGCAGCCGAGCGCCGGGGGGAAGCCGGGTGCCGCTGGGCCCTGCCGGCGGTCAGAGGATCCAACGGTTGCCGACGTAGCCGCCGAGCTGTGGGGGAAGCAGCCGCTTGCCGCCGAGCCTCAAGGGACGTTGCCGCTGGCTGCTGGGAGCCACGGAAGGCCTTCGGAGACTGCGGCTGTCAGCGGAGCAGCTGAGCGACGAGTCCAGCCGCTGCTTGTTGCTAGGAGTTGCGGGAGGCCTCCAGTGACCGGAGGAAGGCTGCCGAGGGCTGGCCAGGACCGCGGAGGCCCGAGAGCGGCTGACAGCAGGAACAACATGGTGCTGGTGGAAGGGCCTTGTCTGGGCGGCTGGACAAAGGACCAGCGGGGCAGGGCTAACTCAAGGGAAGGGCGTGACCGGACTGGACGGACCTTTATGACCATTAGGCGGATGATGGTTTGCTGCTGGGGTTGGGGTATTGGAGCGTGGCACAGTTATGTAAGGCACTGGGAGCAATCCACTCCCAGTGCTGACTTTTTGTTTGCTAAGGAATAAACTTGGCTTGCACCTCGTACCTGCGTTCCTTGTTTCTGTTACTCTGGATGACGACGGATGGGCATGACAGTCAGTTTCAGAGAAGATATCCAGGGTTCCTCATGGAACTCTATGCATGAAGAAAAGGATTCGTTGGTGGAACACACAACCTATTGAAAAAGAGCCATGGAAATTCTGACAGTCACACTCAGTAACCACAATTTTTCTGTTCTTTGTTTATCAGTTCAATATTTCCTATTGTGGTTTGTGGTGCTCTAACTTAGACTATTTTTATTGGCATGTGTTCAGTTAAAAATAATTAAACAATTAGCCATTTATTCTCTCATGAAAAATATTTTTTTTCTTTTAATGACCCTGTAATCCCTTGCTTCGGGTTGGAATCAGGGTGACTGAATGGAGCTGAGCATTTACTGGCCTGATGCCCCTTCTGACACATAAATAATAATAATAATAATAATAATAATAATAATAATAATAATAATAATAATAATAATAATAATAATAATAATAATAATAATAGTAATAGTAATAGTAATAGTAATAGTAATGATAATGATAATGATAATGATAATGATAATGATAATGATAATGATAATGATAATGATAATGATAATAATAATAATAATAATAATAATAATAATAATAATAATAATAATAATAATAATAATAATAATAATAATAGACTTAACAATTGTCGATAAGAAAGAGAAAAGAGTCTGGATAGTGGATGTGGGAGTGCCTGGAGACAGCAGAATAGACGAGAAAGAACTGGAGAAGATAACAAAATACAAAGACCTACAAATAGAAATAGAAAGACTGTTGCAAAAGAAAGCAAGGGCAGTACCAATAATAATAGGTGTCTTGGGTGCTATCCCAAAACAACTTGAGCACCACTTGAACACCATTGGCATTGACAAATTCACCATTAGTCAATTGCAAAAGGTGGCCTTACTAGGAACTGCTTCCATCTTGAGATGATATCAGTAATACCATCAAACATCCACATCTGCCTATACCAGGTCCTTGGTAAGGACTCGATAGGTAGACAAAATGCCAAATCCAGTCTGAACATCTGGCTGACTGTGCGATGATCCATAATAATAAAGTTGGAAGGGACCTTGGAGGTCATTGAGTCCAACCCCCTGCTCAGGCAGGAACCCTACACCATTTCAGACAAATGGCTGTCCAGTCTCTTCTTAAAAACTTCCAGTGCTAGAGCATTCACCGCTTCTGGAGGCAGGTTGTTCCATTGGTTAATTGTTCTAACTGTCAGAAAGTTTCTCCTTAGTTCTAGGTTGCTTCTCTCCTTGATCAGTTTCCATCCGTTGCTACTTGTCCTGCCCTCAGGCGCTTTGGAGAATTGCTTGACTCTCTCTTCTTTGTGGCAGCCCCTGAGATATTGGAACACTGCTATCATGTCCCCCCTCATCCTTCTCTTCATTAAATTGGACATACCCAATTCCAGCAACCGTACCTTATATGCTTTAGCCTTCACCTTCTTTCCAAAGAAGCCCTTGAGCTCAAACTCTCGAAACTTCCTTTACTACCCTTGCTCCACATGGGCAAGGCCTGGGAAACCCATCCACAGACACAAGGGGGTCTGCTGCCGGCAAGATGGGGCTTACCAGTCTCAGTCCATTGGAGAGGTTAGCTTGGAGTCCCATCTGGGGTGCCAAATTGATAGAAGTCTTCATCCTAGTTCATCCAAGCCAGGGATAAATAAGCAACATGGCAACTGCTTTCGGAAGAAGGTTACAGTTTATTGAAGAAGCAGAAAGATAATAATAATAATAATAATAATAATAATAATAATAATAATAATAATAATAATAATAATAATAATAATAATAATAATAATAATAATAATAATAATAATAATAATAATAATAATAATAATAATAATAAAGTTGGAAGGGACCTTGGAGGTCATCGAGTCCAACCCCCTGCTCAGGCAGGAAACCCTATACCATTTCGGACAAATGGCTGTCCAGTTTCTTCTGAAAAACTTCCAGTGTTGGCGCATTCACCCCTTCTGGAGGCAGGTTGTTCCACTGGTTAATTGTTCTAACTGTCAGAAAGTTTCTCCTTAGTTCTAGGTTGCTTCTCTCCTTGATCAGTTTCCATCCGTTGCTTCTTGTCCTGCCCTCAGGCGCTTTGGAGAATTGCTTGACTCTCTCTTCTTTGTGGCAGCCCCTGAGATATTGGAACACTGCTATCATATCCCCCCTCGTCCTTCACTTCATTAAACTAGACATACCCAATTCCAGCAGCTGTTCCTTATATGCTTTAGCCTCCAGTCCCCTAATCATCTTTGTTGCTCTTCTCTGTACTCTTTCTAGAGTCTCAACATCTTTTTTTACATCATGGTGACCAAAACTGGATGCAGTATTCCAGTATTGTAAAGTGGTATTAATACTTCATGTGATCTTGATTCTATCCCTCTGTTAATGCAGCCTAGCACTGTGTTGGCCTTTTTGGCAGCTGCAGCACACTGCTGGCTCATATTTAAGTGATTGTCCACTAGGACTCCGAGGTTCCTCTCACTATTGAGCAAGGTATCCCCTATACTATACCTGTCCATTTGGTTTTTCTTGTCTAAATGTAGGACCTTACTTTTTTCACCATTGAATTTCATTTTGTTAGATAGCGCCCAGTGTTCAAGTCTGTCCAGATCCTCCTGTATCCTAAGCCTGTCTTCTGGAGTTTTGGCTATGCCTGCCAGCTTGGTGTCATCTGCAAATTTGATAATTTCCCCATCTAAACCCATGTCCAAATCTTTGATGAAGATGTTGAAGAGCACTGGGCCCAGCACACAGCCCTGGGGCACCCCACTACACACTTCCCTGCATGTAGATATGGTTCCATTGAAGACCACAGCCGGTCAGTCAGCTATGCATCCATCTGGTGGTGATGCTGTCTAACCCACATTTTTCTAAACTTATCGAGTAATAGGTTGTGATCTACTTTATCAAATACCTTACTGAAGTCGAAGTAAATTACATCCACAGCATTCCTCTGATCCACTAATTTTGTCACTTGGTCAAAGAATGCAATTAGATTTGTCTGGCATGATCTGTTTTTGACAAACCCATGTTGGCTTTTAGTAATGACTTTGTTTGCCTCTAGGTGTTCTCTGATTCGTTGTTTGATTATCTTTTCCAAAATCTTCCCAGGTATTGAGGTCAGGCTGATAGGTCTGTAATTTCCTGGGTCCGTTTCTTTTCCTTCTTTTGAAGATGGGAAGTAAATCAGCTCTTTTCCAGTCCTCCGGTAGTTCCCCAGTGCTCCAGGATCTTTGAAAAATATAGTTCAATGATTCTGAGATCACATCTGCCAGTTCCTTGAGAACCTTGGTGTGTAATCCATCTAGTCCTGGTGATTTGAACTCATCTAGGCTAGACAAGTGCTCACTTACCATTTTCTTGTCTATCTTAACTTGTGTTTCTATTCTCTTTTTTATGGGGCTATTTTTGGTAGGTTGGTCTGTTTTTTCCCTTTGTGTAAAGACAGATGCAAAATACAAGTTAAATAGTTCTGCTTTATCCCTGTTGCTTGTCACCTTCTTGGCGTTCACAGTAGATATTTTCTCTCTGTGCCCAAAGAGAGAAACATCTGCCACCCCCTAGGATCAAATTCACAGCCTCCTGACTGAGAGGAAAAATCTCCACCTAAAGGCCACCATGCTGCTCCATGAAAAATAAAACAATAATCTAAAGGAATCCCTATATTTTTTAAGCTAGGCTTAATATTAAAGGCTTTGCATGAAAACATTTCAATTCAACAACAATCAAAGTATCTGTTTGGTTGTTAATTAACTTTTGAACCACAGGGAAAGTGGCACAAGGGATAATAATGATCATTGCTTCACGTTCCCTCCTGCCTTTCTTCCTTGCCAGAATATATATTCCAATCCTGGTGATATTCAAGATACAAATTGGCACACGCATGGCTCTTCAAACAGAAATTGATGGATTGTCCCATGAAGGGCATTTTCAGATAAAATCCTTGGATTAAACATTGGATGAATCATTGGGGTGCATACATACTCTGGAACAGTCAAATATTTTCACCATCCCAAAAGCATGAAGATGTTATTCCTTTTGATATTCCTGATGCACAAGGTAGTTACTCTGAGATGCCCTTCAAGTGAAGCTTTCCCTGTTCCACATGAGTGGTTCCAGCCTGGTGATCTTGTCATTGGTGGGATGGTGTCTCACATTTTTTACCACTTTTACGAAATTGAATTTAAGGAACACCCTTCTCTAAAACCTTATGACTTACCTCTGTAAGAATTTTTATTTTTACCATGCATTTTCTTAGCTTAGCCAGGTCCCCCAAAATTTCTGATATCAGTAAAATTAAAGACCTTCTCATGAAATGCATGAAAGTTTGGTGCAAGAAGTCTATTGAAGGACATTTTGCACCAAACTGTAATGCATTTCATCAGAAGGAGTTTAATATAATGATTAATTTAGTGTATAATTTAATGAGCTTGAGGTAATTTAAAAAATGTTCTTCATGATCACCCCTCAGAAAACATACATACAGTAAATGAATGATATTTGCTGAAGCTGTTGCAGTTATACTTTGTGCCCAAATTGTTAGAACTATATTTGTTAACTAAAAAATGTCACTACTTTTATTTGCTGTTGTATATAATGGTTTCAAATCATGAAAACACCATGTAAAATGAAGGATTGAATCCTGTGGAAATTATTGAATATTTTAGAAAGGATATTCTATGCCTACTTCCAAGAGAGATGGTTTGTTATTCATATAGAGAGGATGCCTCCTTACAAGAATTGTGAAATTATTTTTTCAATGGGGTATTTATTTTATTTGCAGTGTAATAACCAAATTTTATCAGCATGTCCTTGCCATGGCCTTTGCTGTGAAGGAGATCAATGAAGACTCCCAGATCTTACCTAACATCACTCTTGGGTTCCATATCTATGATAGTTACTACAATCCAAGGTTGACCTATCGTACCACTCTGGACCTGCTTTTCAAATCCCAGGAATTTGTCCCTAACTACAAATGTGATACCCGGAAGAATCTCATGGCTATCATTGGAGGACTAGGTGCTCCTACTTCATCCTTTATGTCAGAAAGCATAAACCTCTTCAAGATTCCACAGGTAATTTGACTTCATGTGTAATGAATATCAGAGATTATTTTTTGGTGTACCTTTCTGTAGGACTTCAATTCAATCCACCTTTTTCTTCTGTCTGCAATTTCCCCCCACAACCCAATAGGTTGGCTCAAAATAGTCAGTGAAGAATTTCAAAACCTTTTATTTGATAGATTAGAAAAGTAAAATTTGAGAGGGTCATTTGATCTTCTGATTTGACCACTACCTGTGGTTGAATTCTGTAGCTGTGTTGAGATAAGGAGTGAAAAGGCTGGCTAGCACATGCTACACAATTACTACATAAACTCTTTGAGGAGGAGAACATACAATTTCAGATAAATGATTTTCCAGTCTCTTTTTGAAAGCCTCCAGTGATGGAGCAGCCACAACTTCTGAATGCAAGTTTTTTCATTGGTTAATTATTCTCACCAA